CACTTGATTTCGGTTCAGGTTGTGATCTCACGGGTTCATGGGTTTGAGACCCGTGTTGGGCTCGGCGCTGACAGTGCAGAGCCTGCTTGGGATTCCCTCTCCCTTTCCCTCTTGCCTGCCCGCACTCTCTCCCTCTCTCTCAAAATAAATAAATAAATAAAAACTAATAAAATTCTGATGATTTGATTCTTTTTCACAAGTGGGGATATCTGGTCTCTGATTCTCAAAATCATACAACTGAAACTGGAATTTGAGGGATAATATATTAATGTTAAACATGCATTTCAAAGAATAAAAAGTCACTGCCCAGCTGTATAACTTGAAGATCGGAGAAAGTGGTATGCTAAATTATGTTGTCATTCATACTGGAATCCCAATTAAGGTAAACAAGAGAGAGAGAAAAAAGCTCACTATGACTTTCAAAGAGCTTTTGATAAAATGTGCTTTTAAACTTGTTTGTCTAGCACAGATGTTCTCATTCTGCCACATCAAGGCCATGATGAAATTTTCACAGGAGAAATGGGAAAATAAGGGAATATGGTTGCTTTCTTCAGAAGCTAGGTTTATTCACTTTAAAAGATTGTTCACTGCTCCAAGAAGACTGTACTTAACTTTTTTCTTAGTATTAAAATGTTCTCTTTTCTGAAGAGGTGATGGTAGATGGCTTTAAAAAAATGTCAACTTGGCAAAACAAAGAATGTTGGTACCTTATGTCAATCTCTCAAATGCTATGCATCCGTGAACTCTCAATGTTTAGAAAGCGTTTCTATATGCTGTTTTTGGGCCAAGGAGGGTCCAGAGGGCACCCAGGGATTTGGGAAAGACAGTGAGAAATATACATTTGTTGAGTACATCTACTGGCTAGACACCAAGCTTTACACATACATGATTTCTCAGCAAATCTTACAATTTCAGTTAAGTGTTCTCATAGTAAAGTAGAAATTAATACAGGATAAATAACTTACTCAAGGAATGCACTAATAGTGGAAACCAAATCTAAGTTTATCTGAGTCTAGAATCTGTGCTCTTTCCATCTGACTTTGGCTCAGGTCATGATCTGGCAGTTCATGAGTTTGAGCCGCATGTCGCTTTCAGTGCTGACAGCTTAGAGCCTGGAGCCTGCTTTGGATTCTGTGTCTCCCTCTCTCTCTCTCTCTCTCTCTGCCCTTTCCCCGCTTGTGCCCTGTCTGTCTCTCTCAAAAATAAACCTTAAAAAAACATTTTTTTTTTTTTAACGTTTATTTATTTTTGAGACACAGAGAG